GCAGCATGTTTGACCTGCGGCTTTTACTCTGAAATCAGCATCGTAATGCTGCTTTTATTTTGTAAAGCTGATTGCAGTAGGTCGGTGAGTGGCAGCAGGTGAGTTCATGACAGACACACGGAGACACAGACCATCTCAGCGGGACTAACAGGACGGCAGGACGGTGACAGCCGAGGTGAGCGTGTTTTATCACATTTCTCCGTCAGGCTCGTCTCGTCTCTATCCGGACAGAGGCGGCCACAGACCGCGTTACCCACCAGCACAGCCACGGAGTCACCTTTTAACGCTCTCCGCAGCGGCTGGCGAATTACGGCGGGTTTCTTAATCCTCCATTTCAGTAATATCAGTGTCTGCTTAACGCGTGAGCGAAGATAAATGCTGGAAAACATAATATATATATAAATATATAAACCCTAGTATTGGCTGGTTCCCGCCCCCTTCTTCGTCTCCTCTCACTCAAAATGAAATGAAAAACAGGCAGGTGGTGTCCTGATGGAGGCTTTTAACCTCAATAGATAACGATTTATATTTCATTTTTTATTGGAGTTCAAGCGGGTAATATAACCATAAACCGAGGCTCTGTTTCAGGGGGGAAGAAATACGGGGAGGACACCTTTTATTTACCGGAGACTGAAAATAACGTTGCTGTGATGTGTTCACCTGTTGCACGTGAGGGCTGCAAGAGAGACATCTGTCACATCAGTCACATCTCAGTGTGTGTCAGATTCCTCCTGACGTGATGGGTTTTGGATGGACAGAATGTGACTTAAATGTCAAATATTTCTAAATATAATCACCTTTCAATAGTTGCGTTATATCCATGTTGAACAATAGAACATGGTAGAAATTATATATAACAGATGTGATTGACACACAAGTGATCACTAATGTAAGTGTGTGATTTATATTTAGTCTGATTCCATGGTTATAAAATGAACACTCTTAGTTTGTCTCCACATGGAAGAGAATGAACAGAGGTGCTGATAAACCTTCATAAAGATGAGTGGAAACACACTAATCAGGATGCATAGAAGGAGATAAAGCGCCGCTAATGGATCGTCCTCCAAAAAACGACTCCAGACTTGGCACACGGTTTATCAGAGTTTCTCTAACAGCTCAGCCAGCGTGGATGACATAACATCTGCCTCTATGGATGGCATCCAAGAAAAACTTGCTCTTTAGGACAAAACTGATAAAACATTGAACGGAAGCGTGAACATTAGGAGCACATCCTGTGGTCAGATGAGACCAACATGAATGAGTTGGGCTCAGACAGATGAGGTCCAGGGTGTTTGTTGGGAACCTGGCCTGGACTACGAGGTTGGCTTTTTTAAATAAGCTTCTTCGAAAATGTGACTTGTCAGATTTTGGTTGGTCTCTAAAGTATTGACAGTGGACTGTTTTTGTTTGTTGGTCATCGAGGATCATGTGTAAAGTGAGACTGTCACTGACGTATGACTAATACCTGAGGGGGATTTATTTACTTTCATGTGTTTCTTTACTCCTATCCATTCTCTCATTCACAGGAAAATCAAAATCAGGTGCTTCATTAATGTTGTTTCAGACCATGTAAAAAAAAAGAGCTTCCTTGACCTGTGTGTAATTAAAACTGTCACGTGTAACTAATGTACAGCTTTCTATTGAATCAGGTTCGCTGCCTGATATAAAATAAAGTGGACAGGCAGGATCACTGTTTGTTCAGAGAGCGATATGAGAGCTGTTTCTTCTGTCTAAATGTGTTTATTTTCCTTCTCCAGTGATTAGAAAGCCAAGGTTATCATGATGTTTCCTCCTCCTGCTGCGGTTCCTGATGCCCAGAGTGGAACTACAACGAGAGAAGGAGTCTGAAGGTAAAGCTATGATCTGTGATTGTTTCTGGGCATCGTCACGGTGAATATATTTGGGCTCAACAACTTATGGAAAATATCTTATTAGGAGTTTTCTGAGACTTCGTGCAATTACAATTTTTTTTAACAGTCAAGCTTCAGTTACATTTTTTTTTACTGTGTCACAGATTTGAAACATGTGATGGAGCATGGTCACGTGAGAAACCATCAAAAGTGTGACTGTCACACAAGAAGGACAGCATGTATTTATAAAACTGCTCATACAACAGTTTAAACCCTGAGTCAGGCAAACTGTGTGACGTACAGTTGAAACCAAAAGTTTACATACACTGCATAAAAAGACACAAAACATTTTTTTTCTGACATTAAATCAGACTAAACTTTTCCTGTTTTAGGTCATCTAGGATTACCAACATTATTTCTATTTGCTAAATGCCACAATAATGAGAGATAGAATTCTTTACTATTTTCTTCAAAGTCAGAAGTTTCCATCCATCTCCTTCGTATCTGGTAGCGTTGCCTTTAGACTGTATGACCTGGGCCAAACGTTCTGGGTTTCCTTCGTTCTGGCCCATTCCTTCTGACAGAACTGGTGGAACTGAGTCCGGTTTGTTGGCTGCCTTGCTCCACACACCTTTTCAGCTCTGCCCACAAATTTTCTACAGGATCCAGAACATTGACTTTGTTGTCCTTCAGCCTCTTTGTTACTAATCTGGCCTTATGCTGACGGTCATTGTCCATCTGAAGACCCATCTGTGCCCAAACTTTAACTTCCTGGCTGATGTCTTGAGATGTTGCTTCAATACTTCCTCATAATGTTCTTTCCTCATGATGCCATCTGTTTAGTGAAGTGCACCAGTCCCTCCTGCAGAGGATGAACCAGACTTGTGTCCACAATTCTCTTCCTGACATCTTGGCAGATTTTTTCTTTTCTTTTTTCCATGTTGCCACAAAAGGAAGCAGTGTATTTGAGGTGCACCTTAAAATACATCCACAGGTGTGCCTCCAATTAACTCAAATGTTGTCAATAACCTATCAAAAGCTTCCAAAGCCATGACATCATCATCTGGGCAAATAGTTTGAAGGCATAGTAATCTTACTGTATGTAAACTTCTGACTTTAAAGAAAGTAGTAAAAACTTCTCTCTCTCATTATTCTGGCATTTAGCAAATAGAAATAATTTTGGTAATCCTAGCTGACCTAAAACAGGAAAGGTTTAGTGTGATTTAATGTCAAGACAGTGAGAAAAAAACGGTTATATGTCTTTTTATGTATGTAAACTCCTGGTTTCAACAGTGTGTATGTGTGTATATATATATTGATTCATACGTATACACACACTGTTCCTGTTTCTGTTTCTCTCTTCTGTGAAATATGTCTTTTTTCTGTTTTCTTTTTTTGTTAATTTGCAATTTGTGAACACTTTGGAATCAATGAAGCATGACGTCTGCACCAAGTTGCAGCATATTTAACTCTTTTTTGCCTTCTGTGATATTTATGTTAGCATAGGATGCTAATGAGTACTTCTTAAAAAATTAGCATTTATTAGTACATGCTCATCACAGCCCAGCCTACTGAGGAGTGAAACAACATATTTTTTCATAGATTTGGTGTCGCAAGTTATTCATTGTGTAATACATTAAAGATCGACAAAAATCAACAAAGGGATGAAGGGCATGTGGGTGTTTGTGACGCAAATGAAGTATAAAAACTAAAACAGGAATACTAAACAATGTAAACAATGGAACATAAATAAAAACTTCCACTGACTGTCTGTGACTTACCAAACCAAACACAACACACCGGCAACACCCCTGCTTGGTGTGTTTTTCTATATTTAGCCTCCTTCTCAAGTCATCACTCCACCCTGCTGCCCTGACTCTTTCTCCACCTGTGTGTCGTATGACGTTAGCTCATGTACAGCTGATCATCAGCCTACATATTTAACCTGCTGAACTCCAAGCAGTTTCAGGGCGTTTGTTTTCTTTCTTTTGCTCGTGCCACATTTTTACACACTGTGGGTCTGCAATAAAAACTCCTGCAGCTCTGTTAAAACAGCACAAGCGTGGCTAGAAGAATGGCAGAAAACTCACAAGTGTCTTCTGCTATAGATGGAACAAAAATTCATTAAAAAAAAAAAAAATCTGTAAAGCTGGATGTAAACAATGGAAAATCAATAGTAATTCCAGATGACTAACTGAACAAAACAAAACATACTGGCAGCGACACCCCTGCTTAAACTAAGTCTGTCTGCTGTCCCTATAGTGTGGCGAGTGCCTTGTTCTTTTAAAAGTCTAGAAAAATGATTATTCAGTATCACAGACTTCTTCCATACAGAAAGTTACTGAATATAGACAAATCAGTGAGATGTAAAGAGGTGAACTGCTCCCACCGACTCTCAGACACTGTGAGTGATCGCTCTACTGTGTGTATCTAATATCTTAATAGTAAATTAATCTGCTTACACTCCAGCACACATCATAATAAAGTCATAATAATCATTTAGATATTTACAATCTCTGCATTCATATTTCTACGAGCCACGATCTCTGTTATGTTCGTACGACCAAAACTCCAGTGTTGCATCAGTGTGTCAGTCCATGATGTTAAGCACATTCTGAAAAGCCTAAAGAGACGACATAAACCTTCCTGCTAAAGGTGTGATTGAACCCTTAATCTGCTGTCACTCCGCTAACCCGATATGATCCTTCACTCATTGCATGTAATGCTGCTGCTGCAGCATGAATTGAAAGGAAGTGAGTCGACTGCTGAGAGAACTGACAGGATGCAATCATCGCTGCTTTCATTTTCAGCTTTGTTGTCTTTTCTCAGCTGTTTGGCATGTAGCCTGCAACAGGAAGACCTCAGTGTGGGTTTTTAAGAAACCTAAAGAGGCGGGTCAGCAAATGACAATATTGCACTCATGCAAGATTGGAGTGTTTTTCAGGAGGAGCATGTTCTAATGCAACACAATTCTAAATACAAATAAATCCCTGGGACAGCTGGTGTCACATATCTGAAATAAGAGGTATAATGTGTAATAATTTCCTTATACTGCACTACCAAATCCATCAAGTCTTCATGCTAAGACTCACATACACAGTATCCAGAAACTGGTCCAACCCTGCAATTACACTAAACATGGAGTCATGACTCAGTCAGATGGTTAAATGTAGAACACAGTTAGCTTTCTTACTGAGTCATTGCTCCACCCGGCTCTGACTCTTCCTCCACCTGTGTGTCATGGTGAAGTTACTGTACTGCAGCTATTGTACCACTAATCATCAACTCAGATATCCAGCTCTGATTTTAAACTAAATAAGAAAAACATTTCAATATTAGCGCTCCATGGTGGCTGGCTGTTTATCCAGACAGAGGAAGGAAGTGAGATGTTTAGTCTGACTCAGTTTGTCTGTGTTGGTTTTTATTTAGTGCTTTCATTATTATCATAAGAAAACTTTGTGTGTAGCACCTTTCACACAAGAAATGCAGCTCAAAGTACTTCACAGTAAATAAATTACATACACTTCACATGAAAATAGAATGAATGTTTATGTCGTATTAAAATGCCATAATTATTGTACACAAATCCACTTTATAACAGAAATAAAATAAGGTTAAAATAAACCTCTAAATAAAACCAACTGAATAATAATAAAATAAAATCCAGTTAAACATTCAAATACATGAAATGTATAGCAGAAGAAAGAAAATGAAACCAGTTATTTATATAAACTAAAGTGTAAAAATTAAAGTGAAGTAAAATATATACTTTCAAGAAGTGCATAAGTGTGAAGCAAAGTGAAAAGATTCATGTAACTGTAAGAGACAAGCTTTAAAGTTGTTTAGGTGGCTGACTTCCCTGCTTTCTGGAGGCTTTGTGTTCCACAGCTCCGAGGCGTAAACTGACAAAGGCTGCATCCCACAGTTCCTGGAAACACAGAGTTAACCAGGGATTTAGAAATATGGCTTGGTCCTGGCTAATTAAAGGCTTTGTCAATAAGGAGGAGGACCCTTACGACGCCCAAGGACGCCAGTGTAGAGCAGCTCCCTTCTCTTAGATCTGCTTCTTAGCTGCAGAGTTTGGAATGAGCTGAAGTCTCTGTGGTTTATTCGGGAGGCCAGTAAAAAGTGCTTTGCAGTAATCAAGTCGGCTTTAAATGCAGGCGTGGACCATTTTTTTTAAAGATTCTTTTCCATTTATAAATAGTCATACTTTAGCAGCGTTTTCAAAGTGGAAAAACTGTTTTTATCAACTTGTTAATGTGGGAAGTCATGATATTAGTCACTCTCTAACACAGTGTCTGTATAGGAGGCGTAGCAGCAGCAGCAGCTTCCACGCTCTGTCCGTCTACACAGGATGTGTTCAGGTGCAGTGTCGAGTGTAGTTTGTTTATGTTTTGGCAGGACTCAGAACCCCAACATTACAATTACTGTAGTGCTGCATGTGAAGCAGAAGAATAAACAACCCAAAGTGTGAAAATCATGCATGTGTAGCACAAGATGAACTCTAGCGTTGTGATAAAAGTCGGAGCGTATCAGAGCACTGAAACACATGGAAGAAATGCTCTTCATGTCGACATGCAGTAACTGCTTTCCCACAAACTGTCCTGTCCAACAAGTGTTTGGCTCTGCTGTTTTAAAGTAAGGTCTGTCCGTGTTTTAGTTAAAGGTGCACATGTCGTTTCTATGAAATCCTTGTTTTTGCATTCGGACTGCAGCCCTGCAGCGCTGACGACGTCTTCCAGCCTAAACACAGCCAGCCGGTTGTCTCTGTGAAGGACGAGATGGTCTTTGTCCTTTTTGTCTGCCTGTGTTTTGCAGGATGTCTCCAAAACATGTGAACAGGCTCAGGGTTCCAAAATGTAGTAGAAATTTCAGATCACCAACCAAAGGACAACTGACAGGTTTTTGATGCACAACCAGGCATTTTTTGTAGCGTATAGTTTATATTGGGCATGTTCTGCTTTTATATAGTGAACAGAAGAGAGCTGACAAGTGATGCAAGGCAGAGATAGACAGGAAACGACAACTCAGATCAGAACACAGATTGCCATTACTCAGTGTCAGTTAAACTCTTGGCCAAAAGGCATTTTTGAGGCAGATACTGGTATTGATAGTTTATTGTTTAAGCAGTCTGACAACAATAAACAGGTACTTTGCAACATAAATAACAACAAAAACATGTGACTTCACTCTGTGCTGGACATTGAAATGATCACACTGTTTCTAAATGATGTCAAACCTGGATTGGCATTTCTGTATTGCAATTCCTTGTTACTCTATTGGCCATCATATGAACTTGTGAGTAAGGGTTTTCTTTCATAAGATATATCTCTAATAAGATAGTATCGGCCAGTATTTTGGTCTGGTTTGCCAACACCGAAAAGTATAACAGTTTCTGAAATGGCCTCCAGATGTATGATGTATTTTCCTTCTTGGCTCTGAGAGCAGCAGCAGCAGCAGCACACCTTCAGATGCCGTCAGATCAGCATAAGTCAGCTGATAAAGGAGTCCGGCCCCGCAGCATTCCTCCCTGACATACCGATCTGATGAACCAGATTAGCTGCAGCCTTCATGCCTCCCTCATTCCAGTCTCATCAGGACTGGCTGCTGTGAATACGCTCATTGTCTCAGGCCAAGTTTAGACCAACATCTTTTTATACTTCTTCTCATGGCTCAATAGCACATATGGCCATGTGAGCATGTCTGTTTGGTTCGCTGCTGTTCGTGTTCAAGAAACCACAAGGAAATGCTGAATTGTCTAAAGATAGACAAAAGCCACAGGACACCACTGTTACATGCCACAGAGACGTAGTACCTCTTGAAATGTACGGTACAGGCAGGCAAACTCTGGAGATAGCACCGTCCACTACTTCATGAGATGAACTTCTGCTGACTTGGTATTCCCTTGACTTTTATATATATATACAGGCATACATTAAATTTGACATAGTATTTATTTTATATATTAACAGCATGCGATAGCAGGGAACCCGTTATTTATAACTAGGTAACCTCATTAATAAGGATTATTATAACTGAAATAGGAATATAACGTTGGGGCTCCACGTCACAAGGACGTTCTCCTGTTTACTGTGAGCTCAGCTGATTGAGATGGAATACTTTTTCTCATTTTCTCCTGCAGCTACATCTGCTGTTGTTTCTTTCACTGTTAGTCAAATTAATTTCCTCTCAGACGCAGGTTTTAAAGTCTCTGTTGTTTTCCAGACAGTGTTTCGAGGTGATCCGTGGCTGCCTCCTAACTTAGCTGCTCGCCCTTAGCATAGCCTTAGCCACCATGAAAGGAACTAATGTTCTGATTTTTGGCGATGGCTGTGCTGCTTGTTTAGTTTCTGCAGGTTGTGTCTCTCCTGTAGAGATTGTTAAAGTTACTCTTGTGTTAGGAAGATGTTACAGGAACTCCAGATGTCGTGACAGCCTCAGGCTTGTGCTGTCAGCAAGAGAAGCTCCTGCTGCACTGAGATTTGAATTTTTTTTACTTTTATGGTGTCACAGGGAAACAAGACATGCTAACGTAAGATTGTGGTGCTTTGGCAATGTCTGTTACCTCACCTTCCAAACACAGCTCTGCTAATTCACTGGAGATGAGAGAAAGCAGATTCAATTGACTGTATTATTTTTATTGAATCGGTTACTAAGCAGAGCGATGCAGTTATGAAGTGCAACACCAGTATCTGTCGGCCTCTAATTCATGCACCCATCAGGATACATTTCCATAGCTTTGGTGATTCTTTACCCTTCTATGTACCGTAGCACCATGAGGCCACAATGTAGTGACGAACACTTACACCTGAAACTGACTACTACATTTCCCATGATGCTCAGCTGCATTTGCGCTAATTTATAAATGTTAGACTGCTAGCATGCTAAACTTAGATTGTTGATGGTAAATATCAACATGATGACATTAGTTTTGCACAAAGCAACAAGTTTTTCAATGCTTTTGCTATCACCAATGAAGTTCCACAGTCTTCCAGTATATTGGTACTGATGTCTCAAAATAACACCAGATAAAACCAATTGTTTGGTTTTTTTTGTGACTGAATTTTTGGGTTATCTCGTCGTTTTATATGGAAAGCAGCTGAATGCAGATGCTTTTTGGTATGCTGTGGAATCTCAAGATGTGATATAGTCTTCTTCTTCACCCTCGTTTGAATACCTTTGCAGTAACTAGTGCATGCTCAGTTGGCACAGACTTTCTTTAAATGTCTCTTTAATTACACAGAGGCACCGCTAGTGTAAATCCTTTATTTCTGGCTGAGAAAATCTTAAGGAGCAGGCCATAAATCTGTCTTTGTTACCTTCCACCAGAAAATCCAGACAATCCCTTTACAATTGGACGAGGATGGGACGTCCTGCGGGGCTTTTGTTTCCTGTGATAGGAAACTTCAATCACTTCAGCGCTCGGTTTTTATTGGCCCGCACAGTGTCTCATGAAGCCTCTCAAGGTGTCGTCTGATTGGCCCCTCAATCCGCTGAAGACTTGTCAGCCAATCGGCCTCTGTCTGGGTGAGTGCCACTTCCTCTTCCCACCAGCTGCTGCAGTCAATCAGCTTATTCAGCTGCATGAGTGTTTGTGTGTGTGTGTGTGTGTGTGTGTGTGTGTGCGTGTGTGTGGCCGGCCACTCTTTCCTCCCCCTTCCCCTCTCTTTCCTCTACAAAACAGCCATCCCACCCTCTTTCCACTCCCATCCCCCCTTCCCTCACACACTTCTACGCTGTGTTTCTCTCTCACTCACACACGCTTGTGAATATACACTCACACACTCCTGCCACATGAGGCCCAGCCGCAGCCTGCTGCGTGTGAGTCACTGGAGAAAGTTACACCAGTTTGTGTGTGTGTGTGTGTGTTTTCCATGCAGCAGTGTCTCCTCTGCAGCACATTTCGCTTCGGTTGGGACGCAGTGCAAGGAGACCGAGAGAGGGGAGATCGAGATTCGCTGCAGCTGAATCAGGGATTCTGGTCAAGGTAATGACAGCCTGTTCTCCTGGTAATGTTTCCAATGATACTCTGTCACTCCAGCACACAGCGTTGTTGTCAGGATAGCCATGAGTTTGCTGGAGTTTGTTGGTCAGCACTGAGCTTTTAAACACTTGTTTTGGGATGAGAAGTCTTTGCTCGAGTATGTGACTGATCTGTTTTGCTGCGCGAGTTAATTAAACGGTTTTTAGAAGAGCATATTGGTAGCATCCCTTTGAGAGCGGAGTTTGCACATCCATACAAGATGCTGTTTTACAAAAAAGAAAAAAGCATGCTTTTAATGTTTTTACAAGCTGCTTTTTCATTTACACGTGAAGCCAAAGTTTTACAATAGTTAAATTCAGTTTAAATATAAATAGCATGTCAAGCCAGAACAAAACCACTTTAGAATGAATTAAAATAAAGAACTGTCTGATCAGGCAGCCAGCTTTAGGTACAACTTTACTTCATACAAATTTATGTCACCACTAAAAAGGAATTGAGACCTAGTGCCGAGCTCAAGTTTTAAATCTCAGTAATCTGGGTCACCATATGCTGCAAAACGCTGACAATCTTTAGTCGGAGGGAATGGTTAAGTTAAGATTAGAGCAAAATCAATGACAACAGTCACAATAAGCTATTTTAGTATCGATGTGCATTTGTTGAAAATGTTGAAAATACAGTGCAGTCCTGTGCAGCCATAAAGCGGTGATGGAAGAAGTGCTCACGTCCTGTATGTAAGTGAAGGAACCAACACCACAGTGTAGAAAGTTCTGCACCTAGATTTTCCACTCATGTACAAAAGTTGAAGCGTCATACGATGCTTAAATTACAAAAAGTACTCACTATGCAGAATGCAAAATAATCTATGTTACTTGATTATAAATATGTATCCCTACTTGATTCATTTCATTGGCTGGGTAGTTTGTGAATATTCATTATCATTTGATTGTTGACATTATTTAATTGCATATATTTTGTTTTATTATATAAATTCCACAAAGTCGTGAACAGCAAAGAAATGTAGCAAAAAATACCAAATTTGCCCAATAACTGTAGTTATATACGAGTATAAAGTAGTGGAAAATGGAAATACTCCTATGAAGTACAAATAAGTATATATGAACATATACTGTATGTATATTATATAAAGAAAAAAATACTTTTCTTCAGTATTCAAAACTGTACTTTAGTAAATGTACTTAGTTACTTCACATCACTGCCATGGAACAGATGCCAACAAATGATACCAACAAAAATGAAAAAAAAAAAAAAGTTTTTAAAGAGTGCAGATGTACCACATAATGTAATATACTGTCTATTGCCAGCAGTAGGTGCATGTAGCTGAAATGACTGAACTAAATGAAGTTAAAATTCCAAACCACATCTCAATACCTCTAACTAAATAAAAACCATCAGACATTTTGCTCTAAACAAAGGTAGCTTGTTTTGCAGAGAGCCAGGTGTTGTTGGTGTATGTGTCAGTACATTTACACAATTATTTCATGAAAATTCATATCAGAGCCGTGGACATCAGTGCTTTTTAGCATCGACTGAAATGTGCCTGCAGCATTGATATGAGGGCATTTGTTGGCGTGATATTGTTGTAGAATCAGTTTATTTATGCAACATTCTCTCCGGCTCATGTTTTAGAAACAGCAGTTCAAACAGACAGTGCGCGACAAACAGCACAGCTGAAAATGGACTCATTCTACATTCACAACAGCTTTATTGTGTAGAGTCATGCAGCAGTGTGCAGCTGAAGGTGAGAGTTTGGTAATGGAAAGGTGCCACCAGACGTCATCAGATAGTTTCAGCAGCTAAATGTGTCCCTTGAACAGTGCACAGAGTGAAGTGCAGGGAAAACATTCTCATAGTCCTCAAAAGTAATGTATCACAAAGGTATTGTCCTTGTTGGAGTAGTAAAACGAGGTGTCTCCATCAACCCCAAGCTTTCTGATGTTAAATGTCGCTGGTGACTGCTACACTGACATTTTCATTTAATCACAGAGTCAAAAATAAAGTTGTCATTAGAGCCTGTCCTTTAAAAGCCACAGAGGGCTGTTTGTCTGAACTATGTAATAGCTAATTGTCGCAGTGGTGGCAGCATTAGTCGCTCTGTAAGCAGCTTGCCAGCCTCCTGGTGGGTCAACACGTGGTGTTCCAGCTCAGAGGATCCATGACAATACATCTCCCCTCTCTGCATGTTTGTGTGCAGTAAGCAATATAAACAAAGCTTTCTCATCTGCAGCTCTGCTGCTGTTTGCTGATTTATGCAGTTATAAAAGCCACATAATGCTTGATTATACGTTTCCATCTGCCGTTTCAAACAAGCCCCAGTTGCTGTGGAGCTGTTTGCACTTTGGAAAACTAACATCAAATCGCGTGCAGGAATGCATCGTTATCAGCCTCGAAATTCTAAGAATTTTTCTGAGGGCGACTTCTCTGTCATGAGATGTTAAGGTAAAGTTTTTTCTCTGAATACAGAAAATGTAATTTGTGTTTACATGACTGACTGAATAACTCTCTCCACACTGTCCACATTAGATGCTGTAAGCTGGCCTTTGTTGTTTGTGTGGCACTCCATTCCCCAACAGCATTACAAACTGACTTGTTCAGAATGTCTTATAGTTTTACAAACTGTGTGTTTTCACAGTTATACAGGACAGACATACAGACAGATGTGTCATAGTCATGTCCCTTGCAGCTTTAGACAGCTGTGCTGTTTGGACACAGCTGTGCAAATACAGGAGGGATGCAGGGAGGATTCACATGGCTTCATCTGCAGCCATTTAGGTCCAGAATGTGCCTCTCACTTGCTCTCATTGCCTTTAAATCAGAACAGAAAGCCTCTGTTTTTCTGAGGGATAAATACGTCTTACTTTGGTTTCAGGGTATTTTCAGAAACAGTGTACATAAGAAGTGTTTGCTTTTTATATATGTTATTACGTTTCCTAATCTGAACATGGCAGACAGATATTATACTTCTGATTTCTTGTGATGAACAGCACAAGAAAAATATAAATGTGTAATTGCGTACAGACACGTAGTTACACACATAAATATGACTTGTAGTAGAACATTTCCTTTTGGGTTCACATTGTTCAAAGCTGTCATGAAGAACATTGGTGAAGAAACACACATGCAACCAACAGACTATCAAAAATAAGTCAATAAATCAAATACTGCTTCAGTATTTTGACATTTTCAGGTTTTTTTTTTTGCCATGCTTGTTCCTGGTGCTGCTCAGTCGAGTTGATACGAGATACATCATCCACTCTTATTTATCATCTGTTCACATCCACATTGAAAGAAAATGCGACACCGTGCACCTGTTGCCCTTCACACTGATCTCTCAATCAATGTAAAATTTGAAACCTCCCGTTAACATCGGTGAGAAAACTGATATCCAAAGAGGATTTCCCTTTAACCTTTGCCTAACTCCACATACCTGAACCAAAATCGTTTAAATGAGAATGGTGTTTTTAAATCAGTTGGAGAAATAACAATGAAGAGACTGTTACAACAGTGTCTAACAGGCATTTGTCTTTGACAGTGATCTTCATCATGGAGGTGCCCAGAAGGCCTCAGCCCTCCTTCACACTGGCTCTCCCTAAACCGGCTTCATCTGCTCTGTCTCCCCTGGGAGCTGTAGAGAAGGGCTCCAAGAAAGAAAAGCTCCTGGAGAGGAGGGATGGAAGCTCAGAGAAGGATGATCAAGTTGGACAAGAAAAGAGAAGCTCAGAAGAGGAGACGTTTCAGTCGGATGTGTCTGTGTTTGTGGAGGCACCTGCCGATTCCTCAGAATATGTGAATACAAACACTGCTCGAACAAATTTAAGACTTTCCTCAGAGGATAGTTTCTCAGAAGAGAACTCAATATCAGAGGAGAGGTTGGCAGAGGAGGCTCATAAGAAGTCTGAGGAGGAGGCAGCAGCAGCTAAAGAGAGGGCAGCACAGAGACAGCTGCTGGCTATAGAGGAGCTGGTGCAGTCTGAGAGGAATTACCTTCGAATGCTGCAACTCAGCACTGTGACTATCAGGAGCAACCTGCAGAAACTACAGGTATGAATCAGTGAGTGGATAAGACATATGTGCAAAAACAATGATTCTAATTAGGATTTAATGTGAGGACCTAATCATCGTGTTCTGTGAGATCTGAAAGTTGCTCGAATGGCCATTTGTCAACCATCCACATACCCACACACTTGGTTTATAGTGATATGAAGCCAAGTAAGAGTGGATAAGGTGAAATAAGAATATTTTGAGATGAACAAAAAAGCAGTAAAGATTCCGTAAGATTCCGTTATCACGAATACAGAAGGAGGAGAAAGACCTCCTCCCTCCCTCCTGTATCCCTGATGTCAACCTTCAACTGCACCTGTAGTCAAAATGTAAATATACAGAAAGAGGCTACAAGTCAAGATCAAGGTACAGTCCAGGTGCAGGTGGGGGAAATTTAAAGTGAGCAGTCAAAAAACATGTTGTTCTGCGATAGAACAACTATTTTAATGGTGCTTTTAGATAATAAGTTATCACTACATGTTGTAATGGCATTGCATCATGGAGATATACTGTTCTGCTGCGACCTCTTGTTGGCTCATAGCTTTTCATTATGACTGAGGTATTGCTTAATACTGCTAAATAATCATTTATTATCGCTGTGGTAATGAAATGAGTCCTCGTAAAACATAATGGAATCAGGCTTTATGAGCTGGAAGGACTGAGCTGTGGATGAGCATGACGATGATAACACGCCCAGGGAGCGGAAGAAGAGGCCGAGGAGAATCAAATGGAAATAAAAAAGGCGTGAAAGAGGGATAAATTATGAGCTGATGACCTGTTAAGCGAAGGAAATTAACTGGTGAATAGAGGGACAGTTGATGAGATGGATAATAAAAAACACATTTGTCCATTTTATATGGCATTTGTCTAATGTAGAATTTAGACAACATGCAAATGTGTAGACGTAGAAGGAAAGGTGGAGGTGGAAAGGGCAATAAAAATATGATTAGAATAATGTGATGGCTGCGTTGAAGGACAGAAGGAGAAATACTGAGCAAAGTGGCAGAGCGAAGGAGCACTGACCGGAGAGAAAAATGGAATAAATGTGGATGAATGGTGGCATTGTGGGACGGAAAAGTCACTGGATTGTTTTTCTCTGGCAATGTGCACATTGTTCAGTCTCGCACCAGTTAGTGTGCCCACTATTCTCTCATTACAATAGAATGAAGCAGGACAAAGTAGATCTTTATCACCTACATTAGCATTTTCCCTGTAAGAAGGAGCTCGTACGTATGTTGCACAAGTTTTTATTATTAGTGGTGTTACAATAATCCTCAAACTTGACAATTACATGTTGACTTTGCTCATATTGCTGTTATGTAGGGCATCAGAAAAATAGTTTTTATTGGCTTCTTCTTTGCCATTAAACAAGGTAAATTCAGGCAAGATGGATTAATATATAAAAAATGTTCTCTCTGGTGCTTCGTCGCAAAAGACTCGCCATATCTAACCAAACTATCTAAGTTCACATCTACGTTGCGGCTATACAGAAAAATGAATTGCATGTGCTTTCTTTTCTATCCCCATGTCCACCAAAGCCTCCTCTATCCAACCTGGACGGCATGTTTCTGTTCATAGAGGAGGTGATCGATGTGTCGAGCCGTCTCCTCAGCCTGCTGGACCAGACGCAGGTTAAGCCTGACGACCCTCGTTTCCTGGAGACGCTCTGTAAGGAGCATGACTTTACACTGTCTTTAAATTCTCTCTTTAAAACTCTAAACCTTATTACCTGTGGTCAGTTGATACCACGAGCCTGTTTGGAGTTCCAGCAGGTGGTGGTTGTTGGTTCCAGAGAGGTTTTCTGTTTCTAAATGAGTCGCTTCTGTCCTACTTGTTGACTGGAAACCAAAAAAATGTTCCTGTCTTGTCATCTGAAATGTGTTTTTTTGACATTCATGTGAGCAGTAGTTCACTGAGGTATTTCAGTCTCTGCAAGTTCTCTGGAGGTGTGAGTCAAGTTTATTGTTCTGGCTTTATATTCATAAATGTCTTCTATACACTTTATTGTATTTGCACAAGTTTAAAGCCATTTAGTGGCAGCCCACAACGTTCCTTTTGTATTTGTGATATGTTTTATTGTTGCACCATTAGTTGAAGGTTAAGAGGTTGTGACCACATTCCATTTGGGAAGGTCCTCCAGACATTTGTTATGTGCTACTTTTTAAATGAAATGACAATGACAGAACTCTCACAGACTAGTAGTATTACAGTATTTGACGTCTGTCCACATTAAAAAAATACCCCACCAAAAAAAAAAATGACATTACAAATCTGGGTAAACAGGGACCATGAACACAGCCAGACGAATTGCACATTATAAAAATAAGTACAACAAACAATCTGGATAATGGCTGTACGAATAAGCGTTGTTATTTATTCCATGTTCCTTTAGCTGGAGCATGTCTAGACGTGTCTCTTCCCATGACAACGCTTTTCAGTTTCTCGGCACGAAAGCTTATGATTACATTTGCCTCTCTGCATGATGACCATGACAACAAGAGAGTGCTGTTTGTTTTATGCCCAGTCAGTCATTCACTCACAGCACAAAGTGTGTTTGATGTGCACTAACTTTCTTATTTGTATTGATTATTCACAACAGATAGAGAGCACAAGTAATTTGATATGAATAAAGCTACAATTTATAAGTTGTTACCGCTTACCTTTCTGGTTTCCTTACAAAAAAAAACTGCTTCATCTGTATGTTTTGCTCCTCTTCATGTAATGAAGTAAATGTGTGTTTCTCCTTCCTGGCAGGTCATTCGTTCCTCAGCCTGTCTTCAGACATTGAAGCTGCCTATAGGGAATACTTGTCCAACTACAACCACGTGACAGTGGTAGAAAACGGATACAAACAGAAGGAGGCGCTCTGGAATGACATCGTTAAAGTCATCAAGGCCTCAGCGTAGGTTTATGTCGTTCTGACACACATTGGGACAGAAAGTACGAAAAATAAAAAAATGAATCCAAATGCTCACAATCTGTGTTTGTCCCTCCAGACCTGAAGTCAACGCCACCTCTCTGAGTTTCTTCCTGGTCATGCCGGTGCAGCGGATCGCCCGCTACCCCCTCCTCCTGCAGACCATCCAGAAACACACTGACCCGTCTCACCCGGCCTATGCGCTCCTGGAGCAGACGGCTCACACCTCCATCGCCTTAAACTGTCGCATCAATGAGTACAAACGCTTCAGAGAAGTTGGTGAGAATGTTTTCCGCCAAGACTGTCCACTACCAAGACATAAACGAACAGTGGCAATGTCAGAGTGGATATTCTGGATTGTTCAGTTTTGTTGTTTGTTGTGATTAAAAAAAAAAGAAAGCTGGCTGTATAGGAAAGGTTTGAGCTGTCCATAATGTTTTTCAGCCGATAAATACAAGAAGACGGAAACCCTGACCATCAAGGACAAGATCAACCGCCTCAACTCGCACAGCATCGCGAAGAAGACGGCGAGGTTCAGCCAGCAAATCAAACATGAGACTGGAATAGCACCTAAGGTAGGACGCTGCTCTGTTACCGACCCTGAACGATCCCTTTCCCAAGTGAGGCAGTAGAGAAGAGCGTCTTACCCATAAAATCAATAAAGCAACACATAATAGAGGTGTTTCAGGATGCTGAGCCATAAAATATTTCTTAGCACATACCCTACCCTCACCTGCCTGCACCTCAGTACTTAATGATTAACCAGGAATGTGGAGATACAATGCATGAAGTGACCTGATACTGAACCTGCTGTTTGCTCTGGTCCGAGGTGCTACGCTGTAGTTGTCCCAGTGAGATTTAACAGGTCTGATCAAAGAGTTCATATCGAGGAGTGTCCTTACATGTCTCCTGCAGCTGCATATGTTGAAACCCATGTTGGGAAAAAATGCTCTGATCTACCAGAGTTGTATGAATACAAATGGAAACCAGTGTTTTCATGGAATCTTGAGGTCCAGCTCAAGCAGTCGTTATGATCATTTCAAATTATAGGGAGTGAAACTATGTGTGATGCCATCCCAAAGGATCTAACTACTAAAAGAAAAACGCTGTCATCACGCAACTCAAATGTATAAAGACAGTTTTCTATGTGTGTTATCTGCGGTACATTTTAAACATCTAGCTAACACTATAATATAGTCCTGAGATGAAGATTACATTGAAGACAAATGAGACTGATGGCAGTTCTAATTATGCTGTGTTGATAATCGAGGTATCGTGCAACTTGAGACACTGCCTTTAATCTTTAGTCACTACATACTGTGCATGTCTTCCCGTGCGTTATGTTGCAGCTAGTGGACGAGGAGTTTGACGCCCTGGAAGGTTTCTTTTATGTTCTGGAGAACGGGATCCTGGAGCTTCTTGAGAACGTGGAAACATACCTGAACCACTTACAGGTAAGCTGCGAACGTCCAAGGCTGTTTAATGGATGTGCATTTTAATAAAAGTACCCAAAATTGTATTCATATTTCTCTGATATAAATTGAATTACAATCTCACCCTCTATTGAAAGAAAACATTTTGAAGCTTGGATGGTAACCTTGTCAAGTTATTAATAAACCATAAAATCCTTCTTTTTGATTAAAAACAAAGGTGTATTATAATGAGGAACACTGTGGGTTAGAGCCTGACGGTTTGAATACAAAGTTATCATGCAATTCCTGGTTTGAATCTGAGGCATGATATATATTCTGTTACCTGTCAGGAATTGTTATTTGGCCTTGATCGAGAAACTCCATATTGCTCGAGTGTAGCTGCCAGCTGGAAGTTGTGAATGTAAAATATGCTTCTTTGTTTTCATTCACACTTTGATTAAGTGTGGCGTCTCCCCAGATACTGAGCGTATCATCTTTGTAGCGTCTTTTGACTGTTTTGTCTTGTTTCTTGCTGTCTCGTCTTGGGCAACCTTCTTTGGTAACTGATTATGATTTTTTATTTTTTTTGCCTCATATGCTAATGAGAGAACACCAAGTCTTTGCAACAGAGTCATATCTGGAGTTCTTTGTGTTCCGAAGGATTACATTTTACACATGTCTATGCATTTGTAGCATTTTCCCACTAGTTAAATTCCTCATCCACATATTTAAAGGTCTTAGAAAATGAAGAGTGAAGAGCAAAGCTTGTGACCTTCCCATGTTTACATTTTACCAACAGACTGTGACTGGTGGCTTTCCAGTCACTGGTGGAATATAACTAGATATTTATTTATGTTGTTGTCATATGTTTTTGAGTCATGTTGTCTCTGAGGTCAAACACATGAGTGTCTGTGTACCTTTCCACTCTAAAATTATCCTCTAAGTGGTTTTTGTCTCTTTCTATTCCCGACCAACAAGGATTAACATTGTGTGTCTCGTCTCATTTTTTATTTATTTATTTTTTTACATTTCACTGCTAATAACAGGCCAAGTG